TTTTTTTCTTTTTTTTTTTACTTTAAGCAACTGTTGTTAATGGGATGGCCCCCCTATTATGCAGCTGGCAACTTTTTCACTTGCTCTGATCAGTGAAGCATCGCCTGAAACCCATAATGCCCTATCATTTTCACGAATATCAAAAATTGCAGCAAATCAATTTTACCCCATCAACTTATTCCCATGTCAACTGTTGTTTGTTTCCAATACGGTTAAGCACAAAAAAGAGTGAAAATGTGAGAAAAAAAGCGGGAATTTTTAAAAATTTTAGACGACGTAAAAACAAAAAGATTGTTTTATACTGATAAAAATTTCAAAATTTACAATTGAGACTGTGAGATTTACTGTCTTGCAAGATTTTCAGGATCCCATATGAATCCTGCAATTTCATTCTCAAATTTTATCTGCGGGAGACTTTCAGCAATACGTCTTTGCTTGTACGCTATTATGCAAACATGTGGAGCGTTTACTGGAAGCTTGTTAACATATATCTTATACTACGGTACAAACTTTGAAACGATTATTATGTATGGCCAAAACCAAAACCAGTAGTCAAAACTCGTCAAGATTTTACTTCTGTGATAAACGGAGGCACTTAGAAGTAGTCCAAGTTTTTTGGTTTCATCTTGAGAGCTGATCAAGAAAAACCTAGCAGCAGTTTTATTCATCGCATGAGCCACTTTCAATGTGCTATCGGAATGATTGAATTAGTAATTTATCGTCACCAGCCAAGTTGAACCCATGAGTTTTTGCATGATAATAGCGCCACTTCCTGCTGCTTCATGGCTGCTGGCAGATTTTTAATTTGGCAAAATCATTTCGAATCCAACTGATTCTGCCAAGGTGCTTTTAAATCCACTCTAATTTCGTAATTTTAAAATTGAAATAGCAGTAAACCCAAACTTTTGATTTAGTTCAAGGAACGATACGTTTTTGGAGAATCAAGAACCAAATTTAAGTCTCCTTGCACCCCTATCTAACAGTCAGTTAGATGTTAACATTGTCAGTCAGATCGAGAACTGATCGCGCTGGATATAAACTTGAAATTTTCATACCTTTTTGGATGAATGAATAGCAATCAAATGTAATGGGTAAAGTCATCACTGTTTTTGTTTTGTTTACTTTAAAAGCGCTCATCAGATTTCGTAAAGCGATTTCGATGCAAATCGATGTCTGTTTTGACAAAATTTGTCTCATTCTGTCAATTTATCGTCAAAATAAACGTTTGTGAGCTCCGCTTTTAGCTCTCTAAAGTAATTTGTAGTTCCCAAATGCCACTTATGCCTTTGCTTAGAATTTGTGCCTAACTTTCAAATTTTTTGCAATTTTTTGCTGCTTCCTACATCCAGCACTTTAGCTTCACTTCTCTGTGTTTCTGAATGACGCTAAACGTGCGCATAGGCGTTTGTGTGCAGTTTCATCAAATTTGTCCACAGGGTGAGATGGAGAGTAATAGCGCTTCTCTTTTCCAATTAGGAGCACGAATCGTTGAAATCAGAGGGTAAAATAAACTTCAAATTTAGTAAATCTCGAAGAATGGGCAGCTTGTTGTCTAGCATCGGGTGAAAAATTTGGTGAAATGATGGAATCTGTTCTTCTGCATAGTACCTCTGCGAATCAGTGTGTAGACAAATTCGATTGCTTTCAGAAGCGTTCAACGACTACGATGGCGGTATTCGACAAATTGTTGGAGCAAATTCAACGCTTGGCGTTTTCGTGCCTTTGCCACAACCATATCTTAGTACTGCGGGGTGCATCATCGATCAGGTGATTAGTTTCTCGACATTAAAATTTGGATGCGCTGCATTTATCATTCTAGCGTTCTCGATTCTTTTCTCATCGTGAAGTTGCTTCTTGTGGACGGCTTCTTCTTCTAGCAGAATAGTTTAAAGTAGAAGGGAATCGAACCAGTTGTCTTCACAACCATGCACAGCGTTATTTCCTGTACACGGTATCTCTGTGCTAATTATGTATACTTCTTAAATCAGTTCTGCAATATATGATGGATTTTTCGCCGGAATTTAATAGCATTATACTTCTACAACTTTCTGACACGCGAACGGTAGGCATAGCATACGCAAGCATTCTTACCTGCAGAGCTTGTAGCCTGACTTTTTTAATCAACTTTTGTTTCAGTGTCGCATTTTTTTTCACATCACTGATGCATCTGGCAATTTTTTCGTTCTTCTCTACTTCGGGCTTTTTTTTTATCTTCATACTTCCACAGAGCCGTTCAAGCAAATACTTCTACTACATTGACACTGCTCAATACATCTGTGATTCATTTTTAATAAGTTTAATCGCCTTCTGTCGGCCCCACTAAACCTGTCCTGCAAATTTTTCTAAGTGTACAATGGTTTCAACTTTACAGCACATTGTGGGTTTCTGTGATACTAACAGTTTTTCGAAGCACTTCATAAGGTGTCAAAAAAAAAAGATTTGAAAAATTGCAAGTAATGTGGCTTGATGCAGAAGCCAAACTGCTGTCTTCGGATGAGGGAATGGGATGAGGGAGGAGAAAGCTGAAGTTGAAGTTTCAAGTTGAAGGTATATGAAAATTTGCTTTGAATTTTGTGGGGTTGTGTTGTTTTCAGAAAGCCGCTTAAACTTTGAGAGGAAAAAAGTGCTTAAAATTCAGACCATGGCATCAGCTTTCTTGACTATCGTGGTGCTCGTTATTTGCGATAAGCGGAACGGAGTGCCACTTGTTGCGCAGCCAGTCATGTGCATGTTGCTTGTCTCGGCGCTTGCTTTCTTCTACAGTGTTAATGCTGGTGCTGAAGTCAATCCAGCTCGCGATGTTGGACCAAAGCTCATGGCCTTATGCGTCGGCTACGGCTGGGAAGTAATCAGGTTAGTAATTTATCTAAGAATATAACCTTTGACAAAATTAACCTTTAAATTGACAGAAGAAATTTCTGATAATTTTTCGGAAAGGATTATTTTAAGTACAAAAGTATGGAGTTTGAAATACTGCCAAGATTTTCACGATCTTTTGATGTTTATTTTGGAAGTAAGACGTTACTGGAACCGGTGCGGCTGCTTCCAATATTCTCTAAAGATTCTCGAGAATTGATAATTTTATGAAAAAGAATGAAGCAAACAAGGAAATAGAACTGTCACTAGTTTTTCTAAAGGTTTGCGACAATTTTCTATTGTTTTTGATAAAAGTGGAGTAGGCATAAAGCAGCGATTTTGCTATCTGCTCTTTTTACATGGCAGTCTCCTGCATTTTGCTGATTTCGTCCTTTTTCCTGGATTTTTAACAATTTATTGTACCATACTGTTGAACTGTTGTGATGACATGTTTCAGTTATCGAAACTACACTTGGTTTCCTATTCCAATCATATTCCCATTTGTTGGTGCCGCAGCTGGAACATGCATTTATCAAATTTTCATCGGTAAAAAACCTTTTTCTTTCAATCTTATATATTGAATTTTCAAGCGAACAATTTTTTTAAGAACATAAATAATAATGCATTTTGATTTCGACATCATGTTAGTGTGAATGTGTACGTATTGAAAGTTGAATTTAAAAAAATACAAAATTCATATGCTTCAGATTCCAGAAACTTTCACATTGGCGATCTTCGAGGCAGCAAGACTGTAGCCCAAATCACATTTCTTTTTTAATCCCATTTTTTATTATGCGTTTTTTGCAGCAATGCAATGCGAAAAACGCATATTGACGAGAGGTTGTCTGT